CACTAGATGCTCGACGAAATGTCGAAATGGATTTTCTTCCTCTTTGAGGATTGAGGGTAGCAGATCAAATTACCAGAAAGATCATATGCTACTCAGTTCTGAATTGATTTCCCAGACGAGTTTAGGGAAAGAAAATTGAAGAATAGCACGACTTCTCTGCGGCGATGGCAATGATGATACTACGATTGACGGTGGTGAAGAAACCGATCCTGAAGATAAAAAGGAAAGCCATTCGATGCCAAAAAGCGAGGAGAACACAAGTGCTGATGAAGAAAAATCCAAGGCAGACAAAGTATCTGTGATGATGGTTGATTTATTCTCAGATAGGGAATCAAAACGAAATTGAAATCGGAAATTGAAGATGGAACTTGCTGGAATGGCAGGCTTCTCAAGATCTTCACAAAATGATTGATCTATTCCCAGATAGGGAGTCTCTGTAGTACTTTGAAGTCATGTATATCTTCAAAAATACCAGGCTGCTTCTAAGAGTGAATGCACGGGCGAGAGAACGGTTGGATTATAAAAAAATTGAATGATAAAACATATGGAAAGTTATCTTCTAACTCTGATGAAAGTGATGAAGATTTTGAAGATATTCCTTCTCAAAAGGAGAAGGAAGATNAGATTTTGAAGAAATTCCTTCTCAAAAGGAGAAGGAAGATTAACCGAGAAAAGGCAGATAAGATGTCTCCTGACAAAACTCCATTAGCTCAAAATGAAATGGAGCTTTAACCATAGACCACAAATGGAATTGAAGAAAACTGAAACTAATTCGAAACAAAAAACTTCCTTGATTGCATCTCTACTCCTCTCTACGATTCAAGATGTTCCATCTTGAGGGGGGAGTGTTGGAATATTCCCCGGCCCTCTCCAGTTCAACCCAACCTCTCTCTCCAGTTCAACAGCAGCACGTTCACTAGCAAACCAATTCAACAGCAGCTCCTTCTTCCTTCTTACAGATTCTAGCTTATTCTAGATACTTCTTTAGTTTGTTATCTTGTTAGTTTGTTAGATAATTTGTTAGCTATTTTCTCTATAAATAGAATAGATTGCATCGTAATTTCCTTAAGTTGATCGAATGAAAGTTAATCTTCTTTCTTTGCATCTCAACAGGTCTATCCCGGTTTCTGTCATTTTTATTTTCAGTTTGTTTGTCAGCTTTCCTTCCTTGATTTTATCAGTTTGGCCAAATGCAACAATTACTGGATCCAACGTGATTTCCAAAGATAAAGGACCATGGAAATAAGGAGGGATCTTAATGCCATTTACACCCTTCTACGCTATGTAGAACCAGATCAATAAAGATCGACTACAATGCAAAAATATTATTAAATCGTAACATTCAATCGCTCCTCGCTATGGTAATTAAGTCCCTGCTTGGTACACATTCTTGCATAACTCATTTTCAACAACGCATTCTTCAATAAATAATATTTTTCATCACATCAATAACCTTTCCTTACTTTTTAACCACGTATTTCCCATCATACCACTATTTAAAATACATTTTTTCCTCAATAATATCCATCAAACACACCCTAACGCCGCCAAAGCATAAAATTCCTAGCTTTAACCAATGAATCATTGCATATTTCTTGAATTATTCAAGAATCAAAGGTCCATTACTGAAATTCGCTAAGCACTCAACCAGCAATTCTTAATGAAGGATCCAGCAATTACATATAGTGAGACAAAGTTCAAATCACTCGATAATGTACAATGGTCGTCTATTTTATGAAGTTCTAAAAGCAAAAACACACGTTTCAATAACATAATGCAAACACGAGTTTTCATAGTTCTTAAAATCTAA